ATAACTGAACATGATTATTTGAAGGTTGGTGTTTTTTGTATTAAAAACACTTGTCTTTCATTGGTGGGATGAAATATGCTAATTTTTTGGGACAGGCATTTTGGGTTTTCATGAGCTGTATGCCATAATCATCAGTATTAAAACAATTCAAGACCTGAAATATTTCAGTTGGTGTGCAATGAATCTGAAATATATGAAAGTTTCATTTTTATCATTACATTATGGAAAATAATGACCTTTATCACAATATGCTAATTTTTTGAGAAGGACCAGTACATGCTGACCTCTGCTAAAACACACACCCGGCCTATAACACTGTACTGTCAATAGTCTGTCCTTATCAATGTTTCAACACATATTGAACAAAATTATTGATACTGTTTATCTTGTTTCTTTATATATTTAATTGTTTATTAACATTTAGGAACTTTTGTGTGAATCTTTTTATCTGTTGCTGCTGTTACACTTGAATTTCCCATCCATGGGACAATAAAGGCTGTTTCTATTCTATTCTATTCTATTCTTCTCGTACAATCCGAAGCAGGCAGTCTGATTTCAGTCAGCTGCGCTCAATCTGCCCCGCTCAGTCTGTCCATCTCGGAAGAGGGGCAGACGGAGCGTGGCTGACCGAAATCAGGCTGCCTGCTTCGGATTGAATGAGAAGAACACACCGCTGAAGCCATAGAGCTTGAATACGCTGGTGAAGATTCTCAGTCATCCAGGACATCGTAAATTCAAAAAAGTTCAAGACAAAAACAACTGGACTTTATTTGCAACAGAAGACGTTTCGCTTCTCATCTGAGAAGCTTTCTCAATTCAAAGAGCAAAGAGTGTGGGATTCAGGTTATAAAGCTGAGATAAGATAAACACATACATATGCAGATTGACCTATCACACCTTACAGTAGGAGGTTGTTATGGTCTTTGTTAATCTAATCTACAGATGTGGCCCCTCTGGTCAAATGTCGAATGTTTACAGAGAAGTTGCTAAACTTCATCGTAATTAATGACCAACTGTAGAATTGTTTTCTACAATTGATCAATTTACAATTGATCAATTGTAGAAAACAAAGCATTTTGCAGCTTGATTGAATATTTGCAGCATATTTATTTAGTTTACCCTCCAGGAGATATTCATCAGTACAACAGTAGACATTTATCAAAAAGCATATGAAATGAAAATTACAAGAAAATTATATAAAAAAAAACCCTCCAAAAAACAGCTACATTATAAAGTGATGTAAAATACTAAAAACAGGAACATGTGTGTTGGTTTATGCCACAAACTAAGCAGATGTAAAACCATTTATTTTATTTTTTTATTTAATTCATTCATTTAAAAGAAACAAAATAAACAAAAATTCATCAAAAAGAAGAAAAAAAAAACTCTGAATGAAAAGAGTGCAGAAAGAAGAAAAAATTATTAATATCTGCCCCTTATTTAAAAAAAAAACTTTAAACAATCACTTAAATTAATCACTTTAATATCCACTTTAAAGCTAGGAATAAAAAGAAACATGTTTTGTGTTAGCAAAATTTAATTCTAACTTTAAAACTTATCCAACATTAATAAAACTTACCTCAAGTTGCCTTTTTGGACATGCATGAATATATTTGTTCAAACTGTACTTGAGAGCAGATTATTACAGCCTCATAGAAAATCAATGATGGTTGCCATTTTATTTTAACTTGTTTATTTATTTATTTTTTATTTGTACGCATCTTTTATGATTGTCTATTGTTGTCCACTGTTGTCATCGCTCTTTGTTAAAAATTCATGTCTCTCTTGTAAATGAGTTCCCATGGCTCAGTGGGATTAACCTGTATAAATAAAGGTTGAATGAAAAAATGATATCGGAATGATATCGGCCAATATCCAAATTTAAGTAGCGGGATCAGAAGTTAAAAAATGTGGATTGGTGCATCCCTAAACAATTTACCCTTGAGTGTCAGACAGGCCTCCTCTCTTCCTGTTTTTAAATCTCTTTTAAAAACACACTTTTATTCTTTGGCTTTTAACACGTGATCTTCTCTTGTATGGCACCTTAAAACACACCTGCCGTGAAACTGGTATGTGTATGTTTTTATGTTTTTAATCTATTTTTTGTCTAAATGAACAGCACTTTGGCTACCCCTGTGGTTTTTAAAATGTGCTATAGAAATAAAGTTGATTGATTGATTGATTGATAGGAGAGATCATATCTCTCCAGTTTTAGTTTCTCTCCATTGGCTCCCTGTCAAATCCAGAATAGAATTCAAAATCTTACTTCTAACCTACAAAGCTGTCAACAACCTAGCTCCATCTTATATTACAGATCTTATTGTTCCATATTTTCCTAACAGAGCACTTCGCTCTCAGACTGCAGGTTTACTTGTAGTTCCTAGAGTTTACAAAAAACAGAATGGGAGGAAGATCTTTCAGTTATCAGGCTCCTCTCTTGTGGAACCAACTTCCAGTTTCTGTCCGTGAGGCTGACACATTGTCCAGTTTTAAAACTAGGCTTAAGACTTTCCTTTTTGCTAAATCCTATAGTTAGGGTCGGCTTGGGTTTCCTGAGCTGTCCCTTAGTTATGCTGCTATAGACTGCTGGAGGACAAACTGACCACACTTTTCTTACTCTGCTCAACCTGTTTTGTATTTTGTTGGCGTAAATCGACTCACTCTATCCGCCCCAAAGTTCGTTGTTTGGTTTTACTGTGGACCAAGGAAGTACAGACACTGAAACATAACAGACGCGCTCTCTTTAAATTCAATAATCAAATTTAATAAATTAAATGATTAACAGTCACAGATTACTTTTGTATTTGATTAAATGTTAAAGTACAAAATAAAACATTGAATGCGCATTCAATGGAGACAAACGATACAACCTGTAAGAGTGATCTGAAGTCAGCCCTTGCTCTGCGTTGTCTGCTGAAAGAGGAAGTGCTGTTCAGCTATAGTCTAACTTAGGGCGGTGCACGGTCAAGGCTTCTAGAATGTTCACTTGCTCAACGTGTATAGGGCGGTGACTCGCTCTAGCTTCTAGAATATTCACTTGCTCAACGTGTATTGTGCAAAGTCCGGTTGGGTGGGTGCTGTCACAAATAAGAAACAGGAAGTATACTAGTCACACTTTAAGCTTTAGAAATTGTACAAGCAGAAACAGATTTTATTTTACAACAATTTGTAATTATTTTTTCTATCCTTTAACATGTGTTTGTCTTTCAGGTACACCTGGACCTATATCTGGACCTGGACCTATATCTGGACCTATACCTGGACCTACCATTCTGTGTTCGTCTGTCTCTCCTTCCTGTCCTCTCCACCAGCTGGTCAAAGCAGATGGTCTCTTGTCCTGAGCTGGTTCTGCTGGAGGTTTCTTCCTTTTAAAAGGAGTTTTTCTTTCCACTGTCTCCACTGTGCTTGCTCAGGATGGGAGACTGCAACGAAGACAAGATTCAACTTGTCTGCTGGATTCCTTAGATAAAGAACTTTACTAATTGGCTTTTATGTGAATGTTCCTGTAAAGTGCCCTGAGACAACTTTGTTGTGAATTGGCGCTATATAAAGAAACTGAATTGAATATAATGAATCAAGTAAGTGATCTGAAGTTCCACGAGAACTTACAGCTGTTATCCTAATTATATGATAAGAAACTAAAGTACTGACACAAAATTACTTAAAATTGCTTTTTTTTTCTCCCTGTGACATTTTGTTCATTTAGTCATTTTACTGCAACAAAGCAGCCAGAAAACAATTTTGATCATTTAATACAGCAACATTTTATTTCTACAATATTTTATTTAATGCTTTTTACTATTTGGAGTAAAAAAAAGTGTAATCAGATTATTTTGACCAAGGTTGGAGGCCAAACAAAATGCTTTGATTGCCCCCTGGAAAAGTCCTGGCCATAAAGCTAGAAGTTTATGACAGTGAAAAAAGGGCAGCAATCCGTTTGATTTATTTCTGATCAGCAGGCAAGCCGATCATTCAGGTAGTTGGATGTTTTGTTGTCCTGCAGCAGAGTCTTGGTGACATCGAACAGATTCTGTTGGTAGGCTAGTCTGTAGCAAGTATATGCATCATCACAGTAGGTCAGCAGGCGCTTCACGTTGGAGGTGACTGTGCTGGGAGAGCCGTCCAGCCTGAAACACACAAATCAAGTTTTATGTGATCTATGCTCAGAAATGTCTGCTCAGCACTAAAGTATAAGTTTACTCTTACTTCCTGAAAATGTCTTCAAATAGCGTTGAGGTGAGAGGACGGTGGCGTTTCAGTTCCTCTAGGTAAACAAAGTCTCCCTTCAGGACCACGTTCTGGTGCAAAATCTCAGGCCAGTCTGGACTGTAGGAGTATGCCTCAGACATGACGAACACCTGTCCAACAGAAAAGTGTGTTTGAAAGGCTGCAATGCTCAGAAACAAGACAGAGCTCATCTCCTCAAACATATTTTTAGATCAGAATCACAGAATCAGAATCAGAATTGCACCGAGATACAACGAGAACATCAAAGTCCATGCTCAATAATCCAGGTATACAATCCAACATTTTTCAGTCAGGTCATCTGGACAGTTTCTTTTTTTGTGCCGAAACGTTTCGCCTTCGATCCGGAAGGTTTCCTCAGTCAAGGAAACACACAACAAAATTGATTCTTTCCCAAACAGCTTACTCCAAAGTGGAACAAACTAGTTATGTTGGTGCTAAGATGGTCTCTTTGGTACGCCCCCTCCTCCATTGCCGGCCCTCTTCCTTGTTGACAGTCGTGTCAAACTGGTTGAAAACAACAAAGTCCATGCTCAATAATCCAGGTATACAATCCAACATTTTTCAGTCACAACGAGAACATGTACGTACAGTCGTCCGAAAGATGGACGTAGTGTACAAAGCTGCTACTATAAAAAGCACGGCCTTCTTATTCTTATTCAGAATATTATTCTGCTTAGATGAGAAAAGGGAAGAAAACATGAGGAGAGACGGTATAAAAAAAGATCTCTCACACCTTGGACAGGGCATGATTTGAGGCATCAAAAAAACCTACCACAGCAAAGCAGCATAAACAGACGTTATACATGAACATATAGGCGGTGAAGACATTGAATTTTAAGGGAAAGCCATAGCATAGTCCAGAGCCCCCCCCCAGCCATTGTCCAGATAAGAGGTGACGTTCTTCATCAGCTCAGTTGAGGTTCCGTCACATGTCCGCGGTCTTGGGGAAGGGAGGGGTGCATAGACAGACAAAGCATCTTTGTTTTTTTCTAAACATTCCAGGAGGAGTTGAGATAAGTCCAGCGTCAAGGCCACAGTTTTGGGTCAGACAGAACTCGTGAATTGTTGTTTCTGCCTTTTAAAAGTCTCACTGATACAGTTCTCTGATGGAAACTCCAAATAGCCGAATTGATTCCTTACGGCGAAAGTTGAGCTCACAGGTTCTCCAAGATTATTCCCACCATTCATGGGTGCTACCAGAAAGTTCACAGTCCTGATAAAAGCCTGCTCCAGCTCTGATGCAGCTCCACATAATTCAGTCTGAGCACTGCCAAGCTTTGACACATCCACACAAATTTGTAGACAATCCTGATTTCACCAAGCCAAACAGCAAAATCCAGTTGCCATCATGAATCCAATTTGTTTCCGTCGAGGGTCCTCTTTACCCTGACTCCTGTCGGGAGAAGTTGATCAATTTTGTTGAGAAACCAGCTGATCAAATCCTTAGAATTAGGAAGGTATGCAGCACACAAAAAAAAGTCTCTTTAAGGGTTCACAAGATGAAAAAGAGCAAGCAGGGAAGCGGGGGGGGGGGGGGGGGAAGGAGCATCGGGAGTCAAGTCTGACTTCACCGGAGCACAGAGAGAGAAAAAAAAGGCAGCATTCTGTGCAATCTCCTCCCTTCGTAGGACTGCTTCCTGTTCACTTGCCACTTTCTGTTGCAGTGGCCTCCTGTTCCCTTGACTTATGGGCTTTTTCCAATAGAAGATGCAAGTGCTGTTCCCATAGTGTCCGGTTCAGTTTCTCATCTTCTTTCAGCGGCGAAACAAGACATTGGTCTTTACTTGACATCTTTCTCTTTCTCTTGCCTAGAAAGAAGAAATGGCAGGTAGTTAATTCAGTCTAGATACTGTTTTTGAATAAATACATAAAACAAAGAAAGGTGCTGCTACCAAAGACAGATCTTTGTTGTTAGGAAGATCGATTTTGTGATTCTATACATAATACAATCTTTTTTAGTATATTCTACATTTAAACAGGTCAGTAGAAACTAGTTATGTTCTGTCTGCACCTGTTTAGAACTTAATTGTTGGCATTTTTATATTCCCTGTTATTTTTATATCTTGTGATTCTTGTGTTTGTTCCTATGTACTGAAACTCTGGCACAATAATTTCCTGCGGGATCAGTAAAGTTCTGTCTTATCTTATCTTATCTTGTACTTACTCAATTACATCTGCTTGAGCAACATAAAAAAGAATACTAATAATAATATTAATAAAGTGATAAAGTAAAAATGAATGACTAATAAAATGATTTAAAAAATGAATATAATAAAAAATTAATAAATGAATCAGTAGGTATGAAACAGTATTTTTTCTACATTTTATTTTTTTTTTACTTAAAAAATAAAATAAATGCAAGTCCTTATCAGCACGAATAAAGAGATGTGAAACATGATTGTTGCTTCTTACCAAGTACAGCAGGTTGCTGTGTTGTGCTGCTCTGCGTGGAGCTAGGCTGCGACAGGGATCTGGCCAGTGTAGATTCTGCTGATGGAGCAGGAGAAGAAGCTGGGAGGAGTGGAGGGTCCAAAATGGAATTTATAGACGAACCATCACGTGCCGAGATACGTTCTAGATCAAATAGGGGATCAAATAGGGGGATTTCCGGTAAGATGGCGCCCGTGTACATGGCTTGCAGTCCACCTCTGCTGATGGTGTTCGGATTATTTTTGTTTTTTGCATTTCACATCTGTGACATCAACTCTCTACTGGTGTATGACAGACAAGAACTTTATGACAGACAAGAACTCAGAACGCTCCTCACCTCCCTGCCCAGAGATATCGCTTCAGACACCGGGGAAAACGTGCTGGTCAGCTGGTGAAGCTGAAAGCTCTGCGCGCTGCATCATCCTCTCTTGTGTGCCCGGACCAGGTAACCAACGGGAGTTGTCAGCCGGTGCGCAGCTCGGACCGACCTGGAGGGGCTGTTATTGAAAACCTGCGGCCATTAGCACGCGCTAACTCCACCGCTGCTAGCTCTACTTTGGAAAATATCCGGATGTGTTTGGTCAACGCAAGATCTGTTACCAACAAAACTTTTGTCCTCAGGGACTACTCAAGAGCACGATTTGGACTTTTTGTGCATCACAGAGACTTGGATGTCTTCGGGTGAGTCCAGCGCCTTGATGGAATTATTGCCACCGAACTGTCTGTATTTTAACGCCCCGCGGCCATCAGGCCGGTGTGGTGGTGGATTATTAACAATATTCAAATCAACTTTTGACTATAAACAACTGCCCATCCCAGTTTCCCGTGCCAGCTTTGAGCTGAGCGTCTTTGAACTCGGACATTCACCTCAGACTTTATTTGCACTCGTCTACTGTCCACCTCGGTCTAAGGACTTCATAAATGAGTTTTCTGACTTCTTGGCTGAAATCACACCAAAATATGAGCATGTTTTCATTATTGGGGACATTAATTTGCACGTGTGCTGTCACGAGAAGCCCTTGGTTAAGGACTTTTTAGATTTATTGGACTCATTTAATTTAACTCAGCATGTAAACGGTCCCACCCAAGAGCGCGGACATACACTAGACCTTGTTTTAACTCATGATATGACTGTTAATAATCTTGTTATTGGTGATAATGTTTTTTCAGACCACATGCCAGTCCGGTTTGAGTTCACCCTCCCCATCTAACTCCTAAGCCGTGCATTCCTGCACGTAGGACTCGGACCATTAACCACTTCACTGCCACACGTTTCACAGATGTTTATAACTCTGAAATGGTCAATGGTGTCAAAGGCAGCTGTGAGTCCAACAGGACAAGCAGCACAGAATCCCCGGTATCTGTGAATCTGAAGATGTCGTTAAAGACCTTCAGTAGGGCAGTTTCAGTGCTGTGGAGAGGTTTAAAGCCAGATTGGAAAAGCTCTAAGATGGCGTGATCCTCCAGGAAGCACTTCAACTGGGACTGGACTATTTTCTCCAGTACTTTAGAAACAAATGGGAGTTTGGAGACAGGCCAGTAGTTGGAAATGACTGAGGGGTCAAGGTTTGTTATTTTCAGGAGAGGCTGGACAGCAGCATGTTTAAAGGATTTTGGCACCACGCCAGTGGATAAACTACTGTTTACTATGGCAAGAATGGACGGACCTAGAGTTGGAAACACCTTTAGTAGTCGAGGGGGGACCACATCAAAGGGGGAGCCAGAAGGTTTCAAGTTGCACATGACCTGCTCTAGAGAAGATAGAGTGATGGGTTCAAAATGGTCAAAAGGAGCTACAGATTGAGGGGGGATGGATGGGTCATGAGTTGGAGGGGAAATGAGAGCCCGGGTGGTCGCAATTTTTTCCCAAAAGAAATGTAAGAAGTTCTCGCACAGCTCAGTCGAGGCTTCCAGAGGTGATGGTTCAGTGAGGTGGAGAACAGAGTTTAGGGTGGAGAAGAGGACACGTGAGTTGTGAGAGTTTGAAGTAATTATATCAGAGAAGAATTTTGATTTAGCAACTTTTACTGTTTTCTGATAATGGCGCCAACTCTCTTTAAGTATTTGAAGAGAGACCTGCAGCCTGTCTTTCCTCCACTTGCGCTCCGCCCTCCTACATTGCTGCCTAACGGCCTTGGTGACGTCACTCAGCCAAGGTTCTGCTTTGATTTTTGATTTTTTGGTTTTAACAGGTGCGACATGATCCAGAGTCTTTAAGCATACAGAGTTGAACTGGGATGTCAGCTCCTCAGTGGTGGTGAGAAACACCGGGGGCTGAATTATCATTTCAGAGTTATAAACATCTGTGAAACGTGCGGCAATGAAGTGGCAAATGGTCCGAGTCCTACGTGCAGGAATGCACGGCTTAGGAGTTAGATGGGGAGGGTGAACTCAAACCGGACAGGCATGTGGTCTGAAAAAATATTATCACCAATAACAAGATTATTAACAGTCATATCATGAGTTAAAACAAGGTCTAGTGTATGTCCACGCTCTTGGGTGGGACCGTTTACATGTTGAGTTAAATTAAATGAGTCCAATAAATCTAAAAAGTCCTTAACCAAGGGCTTCTCGTGACAGCACACGTGCAAATTAAAGTCCCCAATAATGAAAACATGCTCATATTTTGGTGTGACTTCAGCCAAGATGTCAGAAAACTCATTTATGAAATCCTTAGATCGAGGTGGGTGGTAGACGAGTGCAAATAACGTCGGAGGTGAATGTCCGAGTTCAAAGATGCTCAGCTCAAAGCTGGCGTGGGAAACTGGGATGGGCAGTTGTTTACAGTCAAAAGTTGATTTGAATATTGTTAATAATCCACCACCGCACCGGCCTGATGGCCGCAGGGCGTTAAAATACAGACAGTTCGGTGGCAGTAATTCCGTCAAGGCGCTGGACTCACCCAGAGACACCCAAGTCTTTGTGATGCACAGAAAGTCCAAATCGTGCTCTTGAAAGTAATCCCTGAGGATAAAAGTTTTGTTGGTAACAGATCTTGCGTTGACCAAACACATCCGGATATTGTCCAAAGTGGAGCCAGCAGCGGTGGAGTTAGCGCGCGCTAATGGCCGCAGGTTTTCAATAACAGCCCCTCCAGGTCGGTCCGAGCTGCGCAACGGCTGACAACTAAAGCTGGTTACCTGGTCCAGGCACACAGGAAGCTGGCGATGAAAACCATGACCGCTAGCTGGAGAGGAAGATGCAGTGCGCAGAGCTTTCAGCTTCACCAGCTGACCAGCACCTTTTCCCCTGAGTCTGAAGCGATATCTCCGGGCAGGCAGGTGAGAAGCGCAGCGAAGGTAAGCTGGCACGTCCGCCAGCAGGGGGGGGG